TTACTTATGGCTCTGACCCACTCAAAAATTTAATAAAACGTCCTTCATGCGTTTAATAAAACGGCCTTCGTGCGGGCACGTTTTAATTGTTTTAAGATGAACCCTTGAGCAACAATTCTTACGTTTGGGTTGAAGCGCTCTACCGACTAAGTTACGGTCCCTTTGCTTTGAAAAATAAGTAAACAATAAATAAAGACGAGGTTTTTCCCCTTCTGAAATGTTTTTTCTCGGGATGTATTTGATTCAAGGGAATTAAAGTCTTATTCTGCAACATGAGCCGGTGGTGGTGGCAGTAAAGAAGAAATAGTCTCTGTAACACAGTCCTTATCACCAGAATTTATTGGTGTGTTAATAAATGTTGCATGATCCTTCTTGCGAGGTTCATTTTTATGCTGTTGTTAGTAATCTGTTTCTGCAGTCTATGCATACGTGCTGATTCTTTCAGTTATTGAACTTCGTAATTTTTCCCCATTCTACTTGGCATATAATCCGGCAGTACTTATGGTATTAAGAGATATCCTTCACAGTATTTTCATTTGGGATATGCTAGGTTCTGTATTGTCAACGTAATTTACATGCATGATGCAGACTAAACTTATACAGACCTACTCAGGCAAGGAACATTTGTGTTGGTATGTTTCAGCATTGTTACTGCATATGATAGTAAACAACACTGGTGTGTCTTACACTACATGTAATTAACAATTTTTAATTAGTAATGTACTCACTCATACCTGGAAAAAGTTAATTAGTGAAAGAAAGTTGTTTTTACTTTGCGATTTTTGTCTAGAATTAAGATTGAGAGTGCTACGTGTAATGCACCGGAACATGTAAAAATGCGGCGACCAATACCATAGATAAGTGTCAATTACATGTATAGTTGCAGAACTAAGGAAACAGTTGAAGTAGGTCACAAGGTAATGCTTGACTAAAAACTGTAATTGGCAAAGTGCAATTTCAAACGTGTTTTCTCCCTAAAATCTCCTATTATCATATATAGAATATATGCGAGACTTCTTCTTATTTTCACAACTTGAACACGTTCTTGAATATTCATTTTTAATCAGAACATTTTTAAAAGAAAAATGTGCTGCAATTCGTATCTTTTTTATTCATGGTAAAAATAATTTTGAGAAAACATATTTAAAAAGGTAAGAAAAAATATAAAAAAGAGTGTTTTAACTAAATTTCTTTAAGATTAACTGTTCTTTTCGAACATAAAGATTGAATGGATAATACAGATACACTTAATTTTAAAAGAAAATGTCAGCGCACATGTACCCGCAAACTCTTTGGTATTCTTGAATTAATGTTAAGCCGTGCCCTTTTATATACAGGCTCTCGAGGAAATCTTAAATAATTTACCAAAAAGGCGTGTGGTCTGATTTTGGCGTTCTAGACACGTAATTGGAAAACGAAGCTCCAGAATGCCAAAATTCTTAAACATATTATCAAACGATTTAAGTTTCAATTCTTCATTTCAATGGATTTTATACTATTAATTACAAACTTCAGCACTTGCCATTCATGAACGTTGTAACAATGCATCTTAAATAAACTCGCTTGTTTTGGATTTTCTACCATACGACAGGAAAAAAAAAAAAAAAAAAAAAAAAAAAAAAAAAAAAAAAAAAAAAAAATTCAAAACAAGCGAGTTTAATAGTCTGTAGAGACGACTATAGAGGATTAGGTTGGTTAAAGAATATGTTTAAAATTCGGGAGTGAAAGGTAGTCAATATACCACTGCTGGAAAATGGAGAAATTCTCCCAAACTGTGCGCAGAACATCTTGCACCGTAAATTGCGCCATATTTGCTTTTCGGGATCTGTAGCATTATGATCAAAGACTAAAATATAAAACCATAACGCTTCAGTTCTGCAGCTAGATAAATCCTTGAGCAACAATTCTTACATAGTAATTACATGGGCTGAAAAAATAACATGTCGGCATTTTAATAATTGTTTTACTATACCGAAAATAATCCTGATTTATCAAATTATAAACATACATATATAATAAGTTTAATAATTTATTCACCATGAACTATAACAACTGCAGATTAAACAATATATTCTTGAATTAAAATAACATTACACAAAAGACAAAAATGTCAATGGATAATATTTGAGTTTGGTAATAGAAATCAATGTAAATTAATTTCATTAACTTCCGTGTTCATTGCAATATCAGTGGATGATAATAATTTTAATAAAGGTTAAAAAGACGATTTGCACCAGTTTGCAAATAACAAACTTTGAAGACATTGTCAAGACTGAATGTGAATACATGTAGTAGCAATTCGTCCTGGGTGAATAGTCTGAGCTAAAAACATTTTATCTTATACTCTTATATAGGAGTAAATTACATTGCGGTTTTATAAAAAAAAAAAAAAAAAAGATTAAATTTATTTATGTGTTAGTGTATGTACACTGTAATACAATTTCAGTTTAAGATTAAAAAAAAAACAACTAATGTTAAAGATAAATGTAACGATTTCATGCTTAGTTTTTTCAGTTTACATAGCTGAATTTGTTCAGTAAACAAGTCCTTATCGTATTTTAGAGGATAAAACCTATAGTTAAATGATCCAAAGAAAATTTTAAAAGGTACGTCTTTTAAATTTGATGATACACTCATAGTAATACGTTGGCTATTTTTAGAGAAATATAAACACTTTTTTGTAATTCGCTGATTTTTTAAAAAAAAGATATTTGATATCTCAGAATTCGTGCCACTGTTTAGCCTATGATTAAAGAGATGCTCATATTAAACAAAAATTCAGAACAAAATTTCTGCAATCGAAGATGATTATAATTATGAAGCGAAAGTGGCTTCTAATTTAGAACATTTATAGAAGTCACGTGCACAAAAGATTTAAAGATTAATAAAAACTTTCGTTCTTTTTTAGGAATTTTCATTCAACATTGGAATCCTTTGCTTTGAAAAATAAATAAAGTACAAATTGATATTTTCATTCTCACGATATATTGATATAAGGATATTAAGAATTAAATCGTATTCTGCAACTAAAAGCTGAATTGAAATATGTGGAGACAACGAACAGTATTCGAGCTCAAAAGTCCATTAAACATACGATTCATAAAAGGAATTTGTCCGCCATATTCTTTTATTCAGTCGTTATATTTGAGGCAGGGATTTATCAGTACCTTCTCGGGGGCCGAAATTCGGCCCCATTCCCAATTGAAAATGAGTTCAGTTTTTCCCAATTTGGCAGTATTTTTTCCCAATTGGTGAACAATGCTTTTATATTTAATTATCTTGGAAAAACACAAGGAAAATTGTCAGATTGTAATTTTCATTTATTTAAGTCATTTAGCAAAGCTACAGTCATAACACGTTTAAAAACACTGTAAAAACATCGCCAACTTTTAATCCGAATTTCCTCCGTTTTTCTAAAAATCGTGATATTGTGTAATTATATAGATTTATTAAGTTATTTCTACATACTCAATTGATCTACGAGTAAATGGTAAGGACTGTAGGCATTACTTCAAATAGAAAAATATATTTTCAATGCATTAATACATATTAAAGAGGACTTTGAGAAAATATATACTTGCAGAAGGTTTCTATTTTCCAGAAACAGATTCTGTAATGACCTAAATTGGAATCTCATACACACATGTACTACCCTAAGTTGTATAAACACTTAATACTCATTGAAGTCAATTTTACTTTTATTAGTCTGTTATTCATAATTGATCTTGTATGAAGTTGGATCATATATAATTGTCTGTTTGGTTGCCCAAATTAGAGTTCATGCTGAAATATTAAATGAATTACACCTGAATACATGAATTAAGCAAGATTTTTAATTTTTCCCAATTTCATCAAAAAGCCGATAATTTTTTCCCAATTCCCCAAAAATGGCATTTCCCAAAATAGGCTGATAAATCCCTGTGAGGGCCCCTATATAAGCCGTTCACTTAGTCACTGTTCAGTGTAATCAGTTGTCACCTGTGTAGATGGACTTATGCTACATAGCTATGTAAAACACTCGGTAACGACTAAAGAAACTGTCTGATTCTTCCACGGCAGAATAGAAGAAACCAAAGAAACTTACACAGTTGCACAGGTCAGTGCAGTAAACAAACACAAATATACATACACTGCAATAAAATTTAAACAAAGGTAATGTAAGATAACCAGCACGAACACGTGTCGTCCATTCCACGCAGGTACACGTGCAAGAAAGCAGTCAGGTGTAACGAAGGCGAAGGGTATATCCCAGTGCTGTAGTAAAACTAATATGGCGTATGCCTATTTACGATTCGTGTTCAGCTTTAAATCAGTCACAGTGAATCTTTATCATTTATTTAGAGTTTCATAAAGTGTAAAGTAATGTTGCTTATCATTCTTGTTTCATTTTTTATGTTGTTGGTAGTGCCCTATTATTCAGCTCTCTGCCTACGTTAGAGATGTAAGCCTCCATGCATCTAAACACATTGATTTAACAGTTCCTTTGTTTGATGCATAAACTGTTCTTCGTTTATTCGTGATGCAACAAAATCTAGTTAGACACAGCTTTCTCACGCTTGCTTTCAAATATGGGATGTGGAGTCGATTATTAGCACACGGTTTTGTAGCTAGTAAATTGTTAAATTGAAGTAGGGATCTGTTATCTGGATAATGTCATTGTCTGTCAACAATTTCAGTACCAACATTTTTATATCATTTTGTACTTAAAAAGATATCGCTTAAATACCAAAGTGTATAACGTTAGAATCATTACTGTCAATATTGTAGATGTCCAAATATTCAAGAAAAAAAATCTTGTGTTTGAAAATGTAGTTCGAACACAACAGCAAGATTTATCATTAAATATACACATTTGTGGATATAATTTTTACTATATTCGCGAGAACCAATCAAAATGAAAAACGGAACAATTTATTGGTCATGCATGGATGACGAATGGTGGATGGCTTTACCTTCAGCGGGTATACACGGGTGTACAAGATTGTCCCAGTATTATGAGATTACAATTCATTTGGAATGTTGGTGTATGCCTTTTGTGTGTATAAGTGCAGGATTAAATGGACGTGTGGACTGACACTTTTTATTGATAATTATTCGTGGAAAGCTGTCGGCCACCATGGCTGATAATATTTAGATGATTAACCTGCTGTGAAACAGAAATCTACCTTAAATTCTTGTTACGTAAGTGTATTTTATTTTTTTACGAGCTTTTTCGCTATTTTTTTTTTTAAAAACAATTACTCACGTTTATATTAAAAATGTAATGAGCATAGTCTTTCAGAAAATTTGCAGTGTGAAATTTTTTGAACATCACTATTTTGTTCTGCATATCTTAAACTCTAACATGGCTCTTCACGATTAAAAATGTAGACTGAAGACAACTAAGGACGTAATGTTTGTGTCAAGCATTGTTTCTGTTTATACATAATTTCATCCTTGGATGTTAACTCAAGATTTCATGTGGCTGAACGTACTTTATTGAATCTCTCTCTCTCTTTCTTGAACCCCCTTTTTATTTGGGTCCTTCAATCGGTCTGCAAGCAGCTTGATGAGCATTTGAGGGATCTGCGTTACTTATTGCCTTTCTCCATTAAACTTTGTCCTCAATCGGTGACGATTCAGATTTGTAGAGACCTTCTGTAGATTTTCTTCAAAGACACTTGACGTAAAAAAGAATGAAAAAAGGACATCTTTGTAAAATGTATTTGATGACAATAGTTAAAACCTTGTTTCCAATCGCTTCTGTTTCAAAGCAAGGGCTGTATGGATGAAACGTGACCTTATCTGAGCAACTACAACCCTGAGATATGCAACGAATTTCAACCAGTGATATGCTAAATGATCAATCAAAATAATTGTCCTTAATTGTCATTACTGGGATATCCGTCATGTTATCAATATCAAATTTACAAGATACAAATTCTTAATTTCATAGTGAAGGTATATTTATACACTGCAAAGCCTTACAGTGTAATGTTTAATTGCTAAGGCTTTTCTAATGTTAATAAAATAGTGTGTCATTTGATACAAGAATGTCAATTTCTTTCGAAAGGACTTCAGTTTGATAATTCAAAAAAACATTCGAATTTTAATATCAATTTATTCGAAATCATTATACATTTAATTTATTATTTGATGCTCATCAAATCAGAATATACACACACATACACACACCCATACACCATCCCCTAAATATATATATATATATATATATATATATATATATATATATATATATATATATATATATTTCTATATCTATATCTATATCTATATATCTGCACTATCTGAGGATTCTTGTGTATTAAAATGAATAACCATGGTCCTAAATTCCCCCCATACATGTATTTACCTTTAATTCCGTTATCTGGTCCCATCCTCCCATCCTAAAACCCTGGGGCTTGCATTTTAATTCTTTTGTATCTGAAACTGAGATGCTTGCATATTAATTTTCCTAATTCTTCTGGCCCTTCTGTTCTTGAGAAGATGAATTCCAATGTGGAGCTATTGTAACACTCTTTTCCTTAGGACTATGATAAGAACAAATCTCGAGGATGCTAGCATATAAGTTGCATTTACATGTATCTTGACCCTTGAGATGATTTTAAACCATTTTCCACATAAATTCCCAAGTAAAAACATATCCTTATGTGGCCCTATCCTACACACTGGGGTCAAGTTGTGAAAAAAACTTTCATCTGAAATCTACATTCATTGCGTCAAAACAAGAATGGCTGTGCTGACAATTGAATAACCGTAACGCTTATGAAAATTTGACTGCACAGCTGTCCGTATTATGACACAGTGAATGTCAAAATTTACAATTCAATACATGCATTAACATTCATCGATCTCATATGGTAAATTGATGAAATATCGCCTTTTTAAATTAAATTATGTATGGTAAAATAATGCACAATAAGCACACCGAACTTACACAGTTAAATTGAATGAACGACCGTTAGTATTCAAAGTGAACGTGAATTTCAATTTTAGACTACGACTTTTGACTTTGGTCCAGCGTTTGTGGCTTCATTTTAAAATTTTAACTTAAACCTTCTGATCTCCCCCATGTGTGCTATGGAAATAGAAATGCCAAAGCTTTCAAGTCCTGTACAAGTAAAATACATATTGAATAAAAATTATTGCGATTTAAATTTTCCAGAGGGTCTCATGTTACAGATAACTTTTCCTTGACCTTAATTTCAATGATTAAAATGCAGTCAAATCAACCTGTATACAAAGCCATTAAGAGGACTGCTGTGTTTAAGACTGTATAACCAAAGACAAAACCTGCGTTGAGTTATTTTTAACCTATATTGAGTTTTGTATCGAGCACTATATCCATCAAAAAACTTGCACATAAATTTTACACAATAACTTAATGGCTATATTTTTTGACCATCATTAATGATCTTGTTGGAAATCTCCCAAAATCACAAAAGATGTTTAGTTACAAGATCTGAAAATTCTTCAATACTTTCTAGTCCATCATATTCCAGAATTAATCAAGATGGATGACCATTACATTGGAACATTCATTTTGTTTTTTTGAAAATAATATAACAGAATTTAATTCGGATTGGCAAAAATTTCGAATGGGAGAGTTCCTTGATATATTTTGTAAGCTGGGCAATATAGACCTAGGCTTTCGGGCTGGAAAAGTATTTGCTGGTACATGTGCATGTATCAGAAAACAAGGACTGTGTGCTCAAATGTTTCGGTTGAGTGGAAATTCTCTCGAGGTATATATACCTAAATGATACTTTTTCCATCAATAAATACAACTTAATGCTAAGATTAATTTACGTTTACAAATTAAATAAATCCTAATTCATTTCTGATTTCTAAAAAAAAAAAAGAATTAAACTCATACTATGTTCATGACTAAGTTTGACATTTTTGGCCAAAATACCATCAATACCAATTGTATTTTTTCAAGCCCAGTCTGTTAATGGATCTGCTAACAAACTGTTATCGACAGGATCCGAAAATAACATTATTCTCATCATAAAGGACTTGTCCCATGTTTCTCAATTACTTGAAATAAAAAATGTATTATGTTCCTCATGATCACAGGTTATGAATTTCGTGTTTTTATTGCGGAAATACCGCGGCAATTCAACATTATTAATTAAAATGAAAACCCTTCAGTTAAAAATCCAAGTTAATTAGATAGCGATCACGTGACTATGATACGTCATATGCGACAATGGCTGATCAGATGTTTACGTTAATCTTACTAAAATGTACTCAATATAAATTGGGTTTACTGCGTTATGGACGACCAAATCACTGATTTTTTCTGTATGAAGTTGAATATTCAACCTTTAATGATTGAACTGTCAATAAGAAAAAATCCGAAAAATCTGTAAACATGGTAAATTAACCTGGTTATAATGATGATTGCGAGTGAAACGATGAGAAGACGAAGAAACTGGCCTACGCAATATAATTATATAATTTGTCATCTTATCACGCGTATTAACCAACTTCATTCACAAAATCAAAATTACAGAACTCTGTTCATTCATTTTATTTAATTAAAATCTTAAATCAAATCATAAATAAATGTAACTAAGCGACTGAATCATAATTGAAATTGGAAGGGGACCGGGACGGGGGTAATTGATAATAATACCTATAGTTTGAAAAAGTAATAACCCTTTCTTCTATTATCATATACTGTTATTAAAATTGACAGGCTTCACCATAAAACAGCAAGCTTCTTCGTGATTTAAAATCTTTATTTTATTTTCTAACTACTATCATTACACCATGTACACCCACACATACATGTATTTATAAATTCATCTTTTATTAAATGTTGATACTTAAACTAAAACAAGTTCATACCTTTATAGTAATTGAAAAGCATGTAAGATTTTTTTTCTTCAGAATTTTCCTTTTGATCACACATTTGTCGTTGATAACTTCGTTAAAAGTATATTCTCTATCACTGAATTGTCGCATATGACGTCACACCGTTATGGCGCCGAAATCCGATAAATGTGCATATCGTCGTATTTGAATTTCAACTCTAAATTTCTCTTAAAATATGTGTACTACAACGTTTATTTTATTCAGTATTTCAATAAACAAGGTTGTAGATAATATTTTTCATAAAATTGCGGATTTAAAAAAAAAAAAAAAACATGGGACACGTCCTTTAATGCTCTGATAAATTTTAACAATGCTAGGTTGATCATTATTTACATAAAATCAACAATTCCAATTATCTTTGCAGCATGAACAAATCATTCATTAAAACGTTTTTCTAGATGCCTTGAGACATCTTGTCCAAAATACCTCTGCAAATGAGCCCGGATTTTACAAAAAAATAGTCGTATTATATTTATTGGATAATTTCCCCTCGAAATCATCTATCATCGGTAAAAAGATTTAAAAACGTTAAACCTTTTATATGAGAACAGTGAATAACCTTGGAATTTTTAAAAAAAAATTCTGATTTTGATATTTTTTTCTTAACGCCTCAATGGGCATTTAAAAGTAATTGGCTTGTTAGCAAAAAAGTTTTTCATCTGTTTTACTTTCTTTTGTAAGAAGTCCTTTAGGAGCTGACGAATAAATGCACTACTTCCAACATCGCTTCCTGAGCTGTGGGACACGTGTTAAAATCCTCGTTTTACAGTACTGTACAAGTACAAACAAAGGTTTTAGAAAACAATACAGTCATGCTTGCAGTGATTTATTTGGGGATAATGTAAAGATTGATTCAAAATTACAAAAAAAAAACGTCGATCTTATTTTGTGCTTCATCACCACATTTTTTATGTACATGTAGTAGATCTTATTATGATTGTAATATATAATTGTAATTGTATATAATTATTATAATAGTAATATGTAACAAGCATTAACTCCCTATTTCAACTATTAGAATTTTAGACATTACAAACAATATAAAATATAATTGACATGTAAATAAAATCTCGCCATGACAATAAAGAGTCAACGTTTCTGAGGTTTGAAAAACATTCTGGATGGTAAACAAACGTATACCTCCTATACATTGCACCACATTATTTTATGTCTTATAATTGGAAAATTTGCATGGATAGACAATGAAATTCCAATTGATTACTTGAAACTTTTGGTGTTCAGGAAGGTAGAGGGACCTTGACTTTTTTTGTTTATTCATTATGTGGACAAACTATTTTAGTCAAGTCAAATTAGCGATAATATGGGCCTAACATGATACAAAGCGCAAAAGAAATTATTTTGTGATAAATGATGCTCAAAATATCTGCAGTTTAACTTCAAGAAAATCAAATGAGAGGAAAGCATAATTAGGCACAATTTGAATAGCTATTGGAATACAGAAAAGGGACCTACATCTGTAAATCCATCCAAAGTTCTGCTGAAGTAATCAAATGAAAATTTCTGTTTTTCATGAAAGCGTAATCTGATTTACTTTTTTGATACTGTTTAACAAATCATTATTTTACATAGACATTATGTATTTAAAATATTTTTTTTTCAAATTTTGTTTCACACTGTATTGTACATTTTGGAAATATTGGCATTTTTAATAGAAAATGAAAAGAGTTTGGAAAAAAAAATTAAAATACATAAACCTCCCTTTATTTATTAAGATTTAGTAAGCTTTGATTACTTCATAAAGTACATAAATACTGAATGTATAATGATAAAATCATATCTCTAAAGATTTAAAGACAAAATCTGATCTATGTTTTGATAACCTCTACCTAAAATTTAAAATTATTAAACGACAAAATGCAGCTACACTTTGAAGTGAGCCTAAACATCTCTATTATTTTTTTGCTAGGTATAAAAGATTTTATTGTATCTATGTTAATTCGATTCACTTACTCTCTCTTCAAGGCAGAGAAATACACAAAAATTTTACCAAAATTTACTCAAATGACAAGAGCTCTGCTCCTTTTTCTATATTATTTTAAAAGGAAAAGCTATGCACCCTAAATAGTGGCTTCCTTTCCTCCGACTTTGTTAGATTTATTTATTTACGTTTATCTTGTGCATTGTAGAATCTATTTATAAAAAAGAATTTGAGTAAAAAATTAGTGTGATGCCTCGTTTTATTAGCTCACCTGAGCTGAAAGCTCAAGTGAGCTTTTCTGATCACCCGTTGTCCGTCGTCCGTCTGTCTGTCCGTCCGTCCGTCTGTAAACTTTTCACATTTTTCAACTTCTTCTCAAGAACCACTGGGCCAATTTTAACCAAACTTGGTACAAAGTATCCTTGAGGGAAGGGGAGTTTAAATTGTTAAAATAAAGGGCCAAGTCCCCTTACAAGGGGAGATAATCAAGAAAAGACAAAAATAGGGTGGGGTCATAAAAAAAATCTTCTTCTCAAGAACCACTGGGCCAGAAAAGCTGAAACTTATATGGAAGCATCCTGGGATAGTGTAGATTCTGAATTGTTAAAATCATGACCCCCGGGGGTAGCGCGGGGCCACAATATGGAATACAAGTTTTACATTGAAATATATAGGAAAAATCTTGAAAAATCTTCTTCTCAAGAACCACTGAGCCAGAAAAACTGAAACTTATGTGGAAGCATCCTGGGGTAGTGTAGATTCTAAATTATTAAAATCATGACCCCCGGGGGTAGGGCGGGGCCACAAAAGGGAATCCAAGTTTTACATTGAAATATATTGGAGAAATCTTGAAAATCTTCTCCTCAAGAACCACTGAGCAAGAAAAGCTGAAACTTATGTGGAAGCATCCTGGGGTAGTGTAGATTCTAAATTGTTCAAATCATGACCCCCGGGGGTAGGGCGGGGCCACAATATGGAATACAAGTTTTACATTGAAATATATAGGAAAAATCTTTAAAAATCTTCTTCTCAAGAACCACTGAGCCAGAAAAACTGAAACTTATATGGAAGCATCCTGGGGTAGTGTAGATTCTAAATTGTTAAAATCATGACCCCCGGGGGTAGGGCGGGGCCACAATATGGAATACAAGTTGTACATTGAAATATATAGGAAAAATCTTGAAAAATCTTCTTTTCGAGAACCACTGGGCCAGAAAAGCTGAAACTTATGTGGAAGCATCCTGGGGTAGTGTAGATTCTAAATTGTTCAAGTCATGGCCCCTGGGGGTAGGGCGGGGCCACAATAGGTATTACAAGGGGGGAAGTCTGGTAATGAACAGCATGGCCAAAGTTACTCAGGTGAGCGATGTGGCCCATGGGCCTCTTGTTTATAGTAGAGTTTGATTTTTTGCAAATGAAAATATTAATTTGCATTGTTGCATCTTTTCCTTTTTACAGAATTGGAGCATGGTAAACAAACATAGATATGGCCTGATAGTATTCTGCTGTGTTGTTGTGCTCGTATGGATGTTCAACTTTCATAGCAACATTAGTGATTCTGCGATTCAAAATTCCGACATAAGGCGTATAGCAAGATCCCGGACGTTTGATGGCAATACAACGAAACCCATTGAGGAATATTTAGATGACCTTCTACAATAATTTTATTTTTCCATTTCTCAGAATCATTCATTTCAAGGTATGTTATATAATCATTCAGCCGTGATGGTTTGTTCTTGAATAGCTCTGAAGTAGTCCAACAAACCAGAAATCTTGTCAGAAATCAAAGATGATTAAAATAACTTTGAATTCCAAACTGACAAACGTTTACGTTAAACAAGAAGCCCATTGCCCACAATGCTAAAACTGTCATATTTATCCTGTTTATGTTTATAAGAATTTTCATCATTAAATTTAAATCATTTCTATTTCCTTATAAAACTTGGAAATTGTTCCTCACTATAGCACAAAGGAGGCAAACTTGATTGTACTCTTGATCCCCTAATGTACCACATCCTACTCCTAGGGACAGTGATTTGAAGAAACTGTAATCTTCACTTTATAAGGATGCTTGAAAATTAATATGATTAATTGTGGCCTTGGTATTGTCGAAAAATTCTATAAATAAGTATTTCACATCAATTCTAATGATAAACTGATGGAGCAAGGTGTCAGCAAAACGTTAATTATGAAGCACAATGAATATAATGTTTCTCTATCCGCAGATAAGCAAGAAGATTGGAACTAAGAAATTTATTTTTAAAAAAATGGTTGTATTAATTAGCAAAAATATCATAAAAAATGATTTGAACACTCGATGTACACATTGAGACTACGTTGACCTTATAACCAAAGCGGAAGACAAAAATTTTGCATTCTTGAATATTGATATCAAATATATTTCTTGCTTTACTTTTATGTAATTGAATTTCTTTTAATTCCATCTAATTTTTTAAAACTTCTGTTGGTTTTGTTATATTAAAATTAAAATACTTGTGCAACAATTGTGCAACACTTCTAGACAAGGAAAGTGAAATTAGAATATCATGGTACTGGTATTCAATTAAGTTATGTATATATCAAGTGCATGTCCTATTCTATGTTGACTCAACCTTAATGCTTGTATTGAATTTACAAAGGAATAAAGTTATCAAAACACAAAACATTAATATGATGTATAGGAAGTATTTATCAGGTTGGGGGGAAACGTAAATTCCGCTATAATAGTGGTATATCACTATTATAGTGAGATTCCGCTATATTTTCAGCCGTAGTTACCCTCGATTTCATCAAATAACATACTTGTTGATTAAAGCGCAAGTTATGATGGGTATAAAAATGGACAATAATTTGAATCCTTGCATGTTATGAATTTTATTTAATTTTCTGCCGATGCGTTTAATAATACGAACACACTTTTTAAAGCGGAAGTTACATTTTTAACATAGCAACCAGTGATTGCGGTAGTATTGAACAAAGACTGACTCTTAATATCTCTCACACATGTGCGCAAATTAGTGATTGTAATAACTTTGAACCCACGTTGAAATACATTTGTCGAATTTACAGAAGAAAAGATGATTTTTGCCTGCTTGGTAACGGGTATGGAGGCCCGTTGGGACAAACGAAAAAAAAGCTCATTACATGTTCACTTTCTTCTGATGAAACCGATTTGTATTGTTTAATTGCAATAAATTGTAAACAATGAAGTAAGATGTCATTTCTGCAAGTAATTACAAACACATTGTTTGACATTCGTTTTGGGAATGATAAACAAAATTAACAATACGAACAACAAAGGGCCTCGGTTTTAGGGTGTCTTCCACCTATTCCCACTTTTTAAAAAAAATCACAAGTCCACCTATTTCCGCTTGCAAATATGATATAGTTTATTCAGAATATAACTTTGGGCAGTACAGACCATCAGATACAAAAATAACATAATCTATACATATTTTACAATAAGTAAGACTCTCAGAGTCTAAAGGGGTAGGGGGTGAGACTCCTGATCATGTGTTCCTCAGTCCCACAGTTCCATTCACTTGTATAGAAGACTATTATATATGCTATAATATAAAGCAGAAGAAGGAATACTTTAAAACAATATAATTGTTTTACAATATATGTAGCAATGCTGTTGTATTATATATAAACATCTGAAAATTAACCTTGAACAAATAGACATTGGGACAACCTGACAGATCATCGTAACGTAATATAAGAGCACGATGGATAAATTTCCCTAAGCCAACTAGGGTACATATGCGATGTGAACCGAATAACTGAAGTAATTTAAATGTACTTGGAGATTTGTAATAATATTCATATGTTTATGTATTTTTCCCTTAAATTTAGATATCTATGGCATTGAAGAATGAAATTAAATTCGTCTTCAATTTGATGAGTATCGTAAACATCGCATAATCCATCCTCCCTGCTCTTGCCTTGTGCTGAAAGTTCATTGTGTTAATAACAATTATGTTAATTACATCTCAACTTAGGTGTTTTTTTTTACAATTCAATACACTTTAAGACAGAAAATACATTGAATAAATCGATGAAAATGCAATGATATATTTCACTTAATTTTGTACAGAAAATAAATATTAAATAGACTTTAAGAAAAAAATATGATGTAATTCACTCAATTATTTGCTCCTTGAATACGTACGCTTTAAGACAGAAAATAAATTAAATCGATTCAATTTGCTTAAGCTTAAAATACTGTATGAAATATGAAGACAACAAACAGTAATCAATCTCAAAAGTCCATTGAAACAATAAAAAAATTTAAACAGAGCAAATACGGACCCCTAAAAACATAAAGGTGAGATCAGGTGCCATGGAGGAGTGAGACCCCCTACCGACCGGTCACACCCGCCGTGTGCTCCTTGGCATGATCAAGGAGCACACGGCAATTTGTAGACAATTCAATGTGTAATGTGTTAAGCAGGCTTAATATTTTAGCGGCTGTGGGGCAGACAACGATGCACTAATTCTTGATAACCATTAACAAATGAATTTCACAAAATCCATGATCGACAGGGGATGCCTACTCCTCCATAGCACCTGATCCTACCTTTTCGCTCTGCGAAAAATTTTATTGTTCAAATGGCCTTTTTTGTTATCTTCATATTTCTATTTCTCCTTGTATTTCGTTTATTTATGCCAGAATAATCTACTTCTGGTAATTAGGATTTCATTGTCTCTTTTTTAGTGCATAACGTAGTTAAATATAAAATTTTATGCAACTTACACAATCAATAAATTGTGCAGAATTTATAAGACGTCACATCTACAGATAATTTTCACAACTTTTTCACTTTTCTTGCTAAGACTAATCAATTTAATTCACGGTTTCATCATCAAGAAAGGAAACATTATACATGTACCTAAGATTACATGTAAGAGTGACAAATATTGCTTACGATTGATTCCATATTAAAGTGAACTTGTGCTGAGCTTTTTTTTTTCATTTGTCATAACGGGCCTACATACCAGTAACTATGCAGGCAAAAATTACCTTTTCTTCGGTAAATTCGACAAACCTATTCCAAAGTGGGTTCAAAGTTATTACAAGCACTAATTTGTGCACATGTGTGAGAAATATTAAGTGTCAGTCTTTGTTCAATACTACCGCAATCACTGGTTGCTATGTTAAAAATGTAACTTCCGCTTTAAAAAGTGTGTTCGTATTATTAAACGCATCGGCAGAAAATTAAATAAAATTCATAAAATACAAGGATTCAAATTATTGTCCATTTTTCTACCCATCATAACTTGCGCTTTATCAGCAAGTATGTTATTTGATGAAATCGAGGGTAACTACGGCTGAGAATATAGCGGAATCTTGCTATAATAGTGATATACCACTATTATAGCGGAATTTACGTTTCCCCCCAACCTGTTTATACCAATTATGCGGCATTCAAACCGTAACGTAAAAAATATTTCCTAATTCTACAAAACAGACACGTTAATTAGAGCAGTGTATTTAAAAAGTAAGGACGACATATATTTAATAAAAATAAAATGTAAACAGAAAATCGAATATTTTACGACAAATAAAAGATTATAATCTTGTGAACCTAACACCTCTTCCTTCATTTCATTTTTAAAAGATCTGGTCAAGGACCAAAAACCATGTTTATGGGATTATGGTGCCCTTCGTTCATATTTCTGTTTATCTGTAGTAAGAAAAGGTTAAAATAACAAAGCAATCGGTCTCAAAAATCGTTGACTGAGAATTTAGAACAGGAAAAACCAGATCTGAGGTTATGATGATTGCAATCGAGACAACATCAATATTCATCCATTTTATCAATTTTTAATAAAAAAAAAAGTTAGAACAGTTTCTTTATAATGGTTGATAAAATTTTTATACTATAAAAAAGCTAATTCAAATAGTGCAGAGTATTTAGATCATATGCAACGTACTATTCTACGTAAATAGCAAGCTCACCGGACAAAATGTTCATACCAAAATCCAAGTATGTTTTAGAATAAATGTAGAACATCATAAAGCGTTATAAAAATCCCACGATGATCCATTGGCAGAGCTCAGGGAATTAGATAATTAAGTTCAAAACAACGCTGCTGAGGTTCTTAAAGGGTTTTTATCATGTATATAAATTTCTTAAAAACGAAACACAGTTATATTCTTGAAACATATAATTATCGTGAAAACAGTCGTAATTAGGTGATAGAACGCCTGAAATATAGAGTTCTCGAAGTAAAAATCTCCACTAATTAGATAGGGATCACGTGGTACGGAAACGTCAGAGGTGTCAATGGTCAATAAGAACTTGTATAGCTAATTGTAGGAATAAACATATCGCAAGATTTTGACGTTAAATAAATAAATTTCGAAATATGTATGGGGGCAGTTTTGACCTCGACGATATTCCTTAGTAATATACGTTCAATCTTTTATGTAAGAACGTCTACAAGAGAGAAATAACCAAGAAAATTAACCGATGGGTAGAGAGGATAGCGAAGACGACGCTTTTAACAATTCGGGACGGGAATTCGGGAATTTTTTAGCGAGACGCAAATTTAGCGATTTGTCCTTGAAAATCATTATGTTATAGTTACACTATAGTTATTAATAGGTCATTGGAAAATACACTCACAGTTTTTAATTCACGAGGGGCTCCGACCAATTAATATCTATTGTGTAAGTTACTTGTACCAGAGGACCAATCAAAAAGTTGAGCTAACGTTTTGTACCGCTTATTGCAAGCTACATATTAATGATCAAATATTAACATTCAACAGTCAGTGTATGGACCAATGAAAAATCAAGATATTGTTTTGAAAACCTGTCCTTAAGTGATTTCCTTGACATTGATTTCGGAAATTTTGTCAATGGAAAATATTGATATTACAAGTTCTGATGTGAAAATAAAAACGGAGAATTCTGATGTGAACTTAGCTGGGTCGCGCTTCGGAGATCTAAAAGAGGAAGAGGACATAAATCGTCTAATTAAGGACACTGAGAGTAAACATAAAAGAAAAAACTCCAATTGGAGTAAGAAAACATTTGACGAGTGGCGAGAGTACAGAACAAGCCAGACAAACTTCCCTATACCTGAGATCGAAAATTTTACAGAAAGCGAAGTAAATGTATGGTTGAGCAGATTTGTACTTGAAGCCAGACGCAAGGATGGAGCACCGTACCCTCCTAACACGCTTTATCAACTTTGTGCCGGACTGATAAGAGTACAGAAAGAAAGCGGAAACTTTATGAATTTTCTAGATGAAAATTTTCTTTCCGTTTCGACGAAGTTTGAGTGCAAGAATGGCTGAGTTAACAAAGCAGGGTGTTTGAACAGTAACACATCAAGCAGACCCCATATCTCGTGACAATGAGGAGGAACTCTGGTTAAAGGGAGTGTTTGGATCTGGAACAGCAAAATCACTTTTATATACAGTTTTCTTTTACAATTGCAAACTGTTTGGGATTAGGGGGACAGACGAACATAGAAACTTAGAGCTGAATCAATTTCAACTGGACAAAGCCCCAATGAGTCTTACATTCTATGGGAGAGCTAACAAAACCTACAAGGGTAAGTTACACTTTCTAGTTTTATATTTATATTTTCATTCCTTAGAGTAAATAAATTGCGACAATATTTAAGCGTATCTTAGGCCTACTTTTCAATTACTGTTGCTAAATATCTGAAGATTTTTCTCAATTGTCTGTTTTATCTTACAAAAAAAAAGGGGGGGGGGGTCTAAACACATTTGTGACTAAGAAATAAAAAGTTTCATAGGAACGAAAAAAATATGAGAAATTTAATTGGTATTTTTATTTTAGGTGGGCTGAATCAAAGGCACATTTCTCCTAAAACTATTAAGCACGTGTTTTCTGACCCAAAGTTTTTCCTTATTTACGAGGAATACATTCAACTTGTTCAAATGATTTCTACTGTTGAGAATGGTTCTGAACCATTTTATAGGCGTCCTCTGGAAAACAAGAATAACTTAAAACATTTAGTAAGCAGTGTCTTGGTGTCAATAAGTTATCAAAGCTTATGAAAAGTATTTGTGAGGAAGGGGGGCTCAAAGGCACATTCAGTAACCATTCAGGGAAAAGAACCTGTGCAACGCAACTTTATCAAGCTGGAGTTCAAGAGCAGAAAATAATGGGCCGTACTGGGCATCGTAGTGTACAAAGCGTAAGAAAATACAAGAGGCCTTCAGCAGAAATGTTGGAAGAAATTTCGAATGTTTTGGAACCACCTGTGAAACGCGAGAAAGTTGAAATGGAGGTGTCCGAATCCACTGAGAGGATGTGTTCTAAATCTGCCTGCACTGATGTTACTGCGTATAACAATTGTGTGTTTGAGTTCAAATTTTGACAGTACAATGCCGAATTCCCGAGTAATCAATCGTGTGTGGTGTTTTTTTTTTTTGTTTTTGTTTTTTTTTTTTTGGTAAAATTTGTGAGGTACACAGAAATTAAAAAGAAATGTGAAATTATGTTTAAATCAAAGTTGAAATGTTTTTATAGCATAATAATGTGAAGTACACAATATAAGACAATCTAAGAAAAACAATTACAAAAAAGTGAATTTCTAAATGTTTTAATTTGTATTTGGAATAAATTGTATATTTAGTGCAATTGTGCAAAGTTGTTTGTGTAAAATTACATCATTCTTTCAGCAGCTTTGAATGTCCTGTCAAACTATGACTGACATTGACATCATTCATTCAGCAGCCAAGGTCTAAAATTTACACTGATCATTCATTCATCAGTCAAGGTCTTGACACTATGGCTTGATGCCAAAAGTGGGCGTGACTAAAAAAACTGTGATTCTTCTGGCAAATACACCAGAGCAACATCAAAGTAAAATCTGAATTTACCGCCAGTCCTATCTTACAATTAATTTTAGCGAGAAGTAATTCTAGCAATTTTATGGTGCATAGAAAGATAATGATACTTTGATACGAAATAAATTGATAGCAATATCTAATTTTAGCGATCTCAACACCCTCGCTAAAAATGCAAAAATTGAATCCTCGCTAAAATTTCTGCTTATGCGGTATTCTTGCGAGATTTTGTGCGACTTATTTTTTTTAAATACATGTTGCTTATTTTTTGTTTAGAGAGTATCATGTCCATTAAAAGTACCTTTACCTTAAAATATTTTATAATTACAAAACAATCGCTGTCCGGGCATATATGGGGACAAAACCCTTGCGTTTGCATTAAAAGGCGCTCTCTTTCACCTCCCGCCAAAGTGAAAATCCACTAGTTAATTGCCTAACAGGTTTTACGAGCCGTTTTGTAAACACAATAACTACTTTGCTTCACCAGGATTGACACTTATGACATCAGAGCAATGGCGCGTACATGTAACATTGGCGATCATAATATGCGTATTGAGATTTAGACTTTGAAACACTGAAACATCAAACACATTGATTTTCTAGCAAAGAATTTTATATGGATGATTTTAATACCATGTAAACATTCTCATATAAAAAAATTTTGAGACTTGATAAAATTCCTTTAATTCAATAAAGCCCCGTCATCACAATTAATCAAAATGACACAATATACAATTGTTTCAAATACAGATGTTTATGCAACAAGCACTTAAGAATTCATAAATGATCATTTAAAAATTCTAATAAACAATTACAAATTGACTTGTCTAGCATATATAATTTTACAATGGAAACGAACTTCGATAGTCATTAAACATATAGAAAATACTACAAAAATAATTACAAAGTAAGTTTAAAAGAAATGTGAAGAAATTAAATAAATAAATAAATAAAATAATTCAAGACGGTCGACATTGAGGTTCTGTATATAGTGTTTAAATATGCACATCCACTATAAATGTTGCCATGGTTACCTAAAATTATGTAGCAATAAAAATGTCACATATCATTTCTACTCCAACTATTGCAATTTTAATGAAACATACATAAATGCCGATTACTATTATTGCATATACTATTCTCTGTTTTTAAATTTCAATTTCAATGAGGTTGATTCGAATGTTACAAGAAAGAGGATTTCTTCATGTATTTCACAACATTACTACTTAACGTATTTTACTATGCTATGTCTCAACATGATTCTTTAAATTAAACACCGTTTTCAGTTTCCCTGATGAGCGTTAAAAATTGATAGACTAGTGTTATCTTATAAAACACATGCAACCATCTATTTCAGGACTGTAGACCAGTTTCATTAGAAACATCCAGTTGCTAGTAATTTAATGATAATAATAATAACCTTTATTTATTCAGGATTACACAATTAGCATATACATTGTAGCTAGTTTTCACTGTGGTCCTGCATTAATATATATATTTACCATATATATTAGCATATTAAAATTAGTATTTAAATATAAAGACACAATAAAAGAAGTACAAGCATATGACTTGATAGATATATAGTAACATAATTGTAACAATACAATCAAGGATTGGCGCACTAAATGAACTGAAGAGGAAAAAAGGTTAAGTATTAGCTCTGTTAAAATATTCCATAAGATACACAGATTTTAAAATTACCACCTGAACTAGAGTTTCGAACATTTTGTGATAGTTTGTTCCAAAGAAATAAGGACGACGACTTAGCTATATGAAGTTCAGAACGTCTGTAATTTTCTGTTTTGGCTCGTGGTAAATTTTAAAGGTTTGACATACATTCATTCGACCTGGTTTGGCGACAATTAACATCTCTTGTATATTGAAACACACAAAGATAATCAAGCATTTGGTTGTTTGAAACCTTAAACAGAAATATCACTGGACTAAACATAAAAAGTAAAATGTAAAATAATTCTTAAATGGCATCCAATTTAAACAAGAAAATTAAAAGCATGTAGGAGTTAAAATATCTCGAATATTTCAAAGTATTCTAGCTCTCCTCTTCTGCAGTTTGAATAACTTACCTAAATAGAGTTGGTTTTTACATTACACCAGACAGTGCAACAATAAGTAAAATGTGGAAACACAATACTATCAAAAAATTATGATGACTTAATCCAGAATTTTATAATCAAGTTGTTAAGAATATTTTTCGAGTAAATATTATTTCCCTTGGATGTTTTTGTTTGTTATAGGGAAGTAAATGTTACCGAGGAACATTTTGCAGATGAAGTTCAGAAACTGACGTCGGTATGCGGAGATTTCAAATGAAAAGTAAGAATTGAAGACAGTTTAAGCTATATATCCATGTAATATAATTATTTAGGCTGTGCAGCATTGAATGTACGTTTCTAGAAAGATAAGTGACAATAATATTGTTTAACATTGTATGTGTATTTTGGTTATTCGATGTCATTAACATTAAATATTTGCTTTTTGCAGAATATTTTCCTTTAGTAACATTTGGGATTGTGTTTCTTTTCTTAATTGTTCGCGTAAATAAACTACAAACATGGCGACCACATATGATATTTGGACAAAATTCTCAGGAAATCCGATTTTTGAAGAGAGAAACATTTAGCTACAATGACTCTAAGGAAATTGTATGTGTAAATTTCAAAGGACGACTCGGAAATCTTATGATTGAATACGTGTTCTTATACATAATAGCAAAGATTAAAAGACTGTACCCTATCGTCCCTGAAAACTCAGAATTGTTTGAAATATTTAATATACAAAGAACCACACTATCGGCAATAAAGAAACCCAAAAATGCGTGTTCAAAATTGCCACTACAAAAAGAAAGGTGGGGACTGTCATATGACGAAAATTTGCTTAGTGTTCCTCCTTCCAAAGGAGTAAGATTTGATGGCTACTATCAGTCATGGAAATACTGGATAAAATATGAAGAGGAAATTCGGGATATCTTTACTTTCAAAGAATCAATACGGAAAAAAGCATACACACAGATGAGGGATATCCTGAATCAGATGAAGTTTATTGCAAATAAGGATAACGTTGTAGTCAGCGTACATATCCGAAGAGGAGATTATGCAACAAAGGGGCATTATAAGTACGGCAAACTTACACCAAATGAAACTTACTATGCGAATGCCATGGATTATTTTAAAAACAGATATCGAAAGGTATTGTTTATTGTCGGTTCAAATGATCTGGAGTGGTCTAAAAAGGCCCTAGCGAATGAAACGAATGTTTACTATTCAACAGGGAATTCAGCAGCAGAAGACATCGCCTTGCTTTCTCTCGCGAATCATACCATCATGTCAGTTGGAACTTTTGGCTGGTGGATTGGATGGATGGCGCGAGGAACCAGTATATATTATAAGAACATTTTTAGACCCGGATCTGATTTTGCCAAAGAGTTTCGAAACAACTCTGTAGATGACTTCATTTATCCTGGGTGGATTCCAATGGAATAAAAAATGAAATGTCTGTGAAATACCGTGGAAAGTCAAGAATAATAAAAATCTACCAGTCATTCAGGATCAATTTATAATTACATGTATATTAGTTTTAATTTAACAATATTTATTCAATTATGAATTTCAATCATATGTTGTTTCCATGTAGGTATTTCCATTTATGAGATTGAGATAAATCTTTTTGGCCAGTCAATGCATAATTTCTTTATTTGATAGGGGGTTTTCCTATATAGCTTCAAACGGGTGAGAAATCGATGTTAATTAACGTTAATTAAAGATCATGTGTAAGTAAGAATTAAATCATACATCATGTTAGTAGTTTGATGGTTTATTTGGCACTTTGGGTTATTCCAAGGGGAAAGAAATGAGTTCGAAAAATTTCATACTTTGTCCAGAAAGAAATTTGAAATAACTACATGAGTTTGATCAACCACTGAATTGGTCTTGAGCATTCGTGTAGACAATTCAGTAACTCTTGCATTGATATACTAGCTAGTGGACAAAAAATTTACAATTGAAAATCAAGTGCCAAGAGAGCGTTAAATATTGTTAAAGGATGCTTTCGGGTTTTCAAAAGATTTGACCTATAGGAGGGAAAATTTTCCCGGAAAAAGTGACATTTAAAAATCAATGTTCATTTGATGTTTTGTACCGTACATTTGTCTAAATTTTTCAAATTTGCATTTTAAACATACAATTTTTTACTAGGAACCTTAAAATTAACCTCTAAAGTTGGTCAAAAGAGCATTTTGTTCCATTAAAGCACCGATTTTTTCGTAAATTTTTGTCTTGAAGTCTTTTAGGGCAGGCTTGCCCCTAAATAAAATTATTTTATTTTAGATAGGTTAAGGCGTAAGGAATAATTAAAGATGGGATTTTTTAGGGGCACCCCTTCCCTAGGGTTGGAAATCACAAAAAAACCTACAAAAAAATAAGGAAATCTAATTTTGACAATCTGGTTCACATTTATGAGAATTATATTCATATTCAGGAAAGCTCAATTGGTATATCAGCTGAGTATTAACACCGAGGGTATTTTTAGAGTCGTGGATCAAATTCACCTGGTGCCACACTTTTATAGTTTTTAATTCTCGCCTTTTCAAGGACTATTTAATTTCTTTTTTTTATAGGTTTATGTCTATTTCCCTGCAATTATCTATCTTTTATGCATGTTCATTCTTGATAATATAAAAGACACTAAAAAGAGAGAAAATCGTAAATTCCCTTGTAGCTAAACCACAGTCCAGCGGAACTATACCTCACTTTGGTGCACTTTCTTCGAGGAGTAGAATTATTCACTCTGTGTTATTCGATACAAGTATTCTCACCTGAAATGAACTACCATGGAATTCTACTACAAATATTCCTTAGAAATTAATCACGTTGCTTTTACTGCACTACTAGTGTTTTTCTGGGTTATTGCGCTGGAAAGTTTGTTAAGTTATACTTATATTACTTGAGCTTTATATATATATATATATATATATATATATATATATATATATATATATATATATATATATATATATATATATATATATATATATATATATATATATAGAATAACATACATGTACTTTTGTACTGTGTCAATGTTCTTACCTCAGATCCCAAGGTTTGAAGCAGAAGGTCTTCATATCAGTATCTGCTCTTCCTTAAATTTCATTTATATTATATATAGGATTTGCATACGTTAATGGCAAGTTTTATTAAATCCAAGGAATTATGTTGTAAAATAAGCACATACTAGTATCAAGAATAGAATTTAGTCTATAGACATTTGCATTATACACAATGAAAAGTAAACAAAAATATCAAATATTTCTTGCTAACAAACTCAAAATGTGTTGACAATACCATGCTTCATAGTAAATATTTATGAAAAGGTTACTCCTATCTATGCATACTGAAATGATTTATTAGGAACAAATTAGTATTGTATGTAGACTAAAGTCATTGACCGTAACGAAAATCAACAACCTTTTTGTAAAGAATAAATCCAATTTCGGTTCTATAGGGGAGATAACCATTCATAAAGAATGATCTTTTAAAAGTTTCTAATACACTGTATTTAAATTACTTTTTTTATAATTGACATTTCAAAATCTTCTATGATTGATAGCGCAAGGAAAAAAATTCTATCAACTGTTTACCATTTAACCTGGGGAATTTATGTGAATAAAGATTTTGAATGAATTGAAGCAAAGTTGAATGCATTCTAGACATCACGAAAGGTATAAAAACTTGTTTCCAATCGCCATTATACACAGAGATGCATTTCGGGATCCGGAGTTGATCTCAGAATCACCTGTCATACATTTGTAGCACGGGGTGTCGTATGGGGGCTACAAGGGTCGGATGTAGATTGGCAACTGTGCTTATTTAAAGATAGAATTTTTGTTTGTCTTTAATAAATGATTTTTGTTATTAATAGAAATTTAAAGAAATGACATGTATCATCATTTTTCAAATACTTCTAGTAAATTACATGAATAATAAGATATGATTTAATTATTTTATGACTTTAATATTTCTTATATTGGTGATAATTGTGTTTAATTTTGAAACAATGTTTTTGAGAAATGTAATATATATTCTGTTGTAAAAAGCATCATGCAATCTAAATTAAGGCATCAATTCCGTTATATGATTGGATCTCAACTTTAGTGCTATGTTTCTTACAAGTTTTCAATTCTTCTTCAAATATGATTCTGATTTTTTCTCTTTTTTCATGATTATATATAAACAAATATATAAAATGAAGTTATTAAAAATAAGTTACAAAGTGCCTTGATAACCATATGCCTTCCATTACCTTTTTAAGTGATATATGCAACTTCCATATTACATGTATCACATTATTATCGGAATACGATTCGTCTGATCAGTACTTTCAGTACTTAAATTTATTATCGGATATTAAGCATTCATAGGGAGCTGGATACCACATTTACCGTGGGTATAATCTGATATTAATTAAAAGAAATCTGAAACCATGTAATGCAGTAGAAAGTTGATTGGTCTATATTTTTCTCTGTATCTTTCTTCACTGCATGTTTATGACCAGAATCTTCTGTCAATTTCATAACTCGAGTCCTAATGCATTTATAAGACAGAATAACATCATATTCAGGCATGTGTAATATGAAAGGAGCTACATGTATGATATATTTGGTGCGTTATTGGTATAAATCTTGCACTTGAATCGAAATCAACCCTCCGTTTCCATGTACAATTATCTACATGTATATTGCAGTTAATGTTGCACTTGAAAATCATCGAGGGAAAAGAACCTTCATATTTGTTTTATACAGCTTTAAGCTCGCTGGCGTACCAATTCGGTCCTTTCGTGTTGTTTTTGATAAAAATAAAACCTCTTAAAACCAAACGTAAATAGATTTTCATTTCTCGCATGGACCTCTCACAATACACAAAAACAAAGTGTTTATTGTCCTCAAACAACGGGTACTGAGTGTTTCGTTAAAATGCTTATAATTTTCGGGCGTTTTACTCCGTATACCTATATTAAACTTTATTCATTAACAAATATTTTATTACGTCCAGTTCATTTTAAATCTTGCAAATTCGAAAACTCCCCCGGTTTGACATATGAAAATAATCCTTTATAGAATTAATTAAGGAATATTTTTGTTTTTAAATTATCTCAACAGTATATAGAGAGTGAAAAAAAAATTAATTTTGATCCCGAATTATTGTCCCACATTACTCGTCAGGGCCATCATTTGAATTAAATTGAATTTGCACTATCCAATAACGCTTGCATATCGATAAGATCAAAGATAGCCCTGCTTTTCTTTAGAAAATTTTTAAGGATTCTTTTCCAATATCTTATCATATCAAACTCTGTATCCGTAGTGTTGCTTCACCGAATGCCTGGTGGTCATGATTTATAGAATTTTTAATCTGCACTCCCTGGAGATGCTTGCATGTAAGTATGTCCAATCATTTCCTTGCTTTTCTTAAGAGGAAGACTTTTGATCGATTTTTCCTAATGTATTCTCATGCTGAACTTTGAACCCGGAGAAAGGGGGACTTTATAGGGAAAAATTAGAATCTGTTCTATGTGAAGATGCTTGCATGGTATTATGACCAACCGTGGTCCTGCTCTTCTGTTTCAGGAAAATTTAAAGACTCTTCCAATATATTCAAAACTGTGATACCCTTAACTTTATCAGGATTCTTCCACTTAAGTTTCATCTGTTCTGGCCCAGTGGTTCTTGAAAATGTTTTTAAATTATCCCTCCCTAATTTTTCCTTTTCTTGATCATCTCCATTTGGAAGGGATCAATTTTAATTTTCTTTTTCCAACGGATGCTTTATTCCTGGTGTGGTTGAAATAGGCCAAGTGGTTCTTGAGATGAAGAGGAAAATGTTAATTAAGTTCACAGACGAACGGACTGACGGACAGAAAGACAGACAACTAATCAGAAGTAATAGGAAAAATGATTGTATGTACCTACATAGACATTAAGTAATTCGAAATGAGTTACAAAATGCAATTATTTTATTGCTTACCATCTACAAACAATCGTTTTGCTATTTTATTTATTTAAGTATCTGCCAGTTAATTTGGGAATGATTATAATGTTATCAAGGAAAGGCGTCACCGCGTTACAGTATTTTCAGTTCTTTTATTTTTTCCCTTGACATAATGATGTCTTTCCTTTGGTCAGTAGCACGTGTGAACTTGGTTGCTATCATGTGAAAAAGTTGGAGTTCCTGTCAGTGATTAAGTAAAGTTCTTGGTATCAACATAAAGGAAGGTTCGTTTCATGTGTAAATTATTTGCGTGACATAGAAAGTAAATAAAAAGCATTCGGTTTGTCAGTTGTTTTCTTCTAAATTTTTTTTATAACCCGGGCAGGGTTGCGATAGGTCAAAATTTTGATGAAATGATCTTTGCTTAAACATTCTAAATGTACCAACAATTTTTCAAGAGAAACATGTATTAACAACATCCTGACCATCTTATCTCTGAAAATAAGCCCTTATTTACAAAAAAACGTGTTGTTTAATATTTATTGAGTGAATTAGATAGGAATAAGATTGGGAATTGACATCAAAGCGATTATTTATGTCCGCTCTTGTGTATTTTTTCGGATTTTTATTTTCAAATTGTAAGCCGAGAAGTGCAATAAAAATTGCATGTTGACTTACGCTTTTTCATTATAA